GTGTGCATTAATGTGTGTTTTATATGTGAATTTGTGAGTCTATATAGGGTGCATTGTGTTGGTCAAATTGGAGGCTTAGCTAGAGTGCGTTTGTGCGTGAAAAAACAATACATATGTAATATTGGAGTATATAGTATATGCATGCTATCTAGTTTTTATTTATTTTTTATTTTTAAAATTTTTTTGAATACCTATTTAGCTTAATTGTTAAACTTAAAACAGTGCATATGTGATATTGGAGTACTGTAGTATATGCCTGCAATCTAGCTTAATTTTTCTGAGTACCTATCTAGCTTAATTGTTAAACCTTCAAATATTAGCAATTTAATATTAAATTTTTAAATCTTTACCATGTCAATTTAATTTGATCACTGACTATCAATTTGTTCACATTTAGTCTTATTACGACTTTTAAACTTTTACCACATTTGGTCATTACTCATTCTCTAACTCACTTAATTTTTTGTTACTAGTGGCCAATCTTTTAGGGCAAATCTATAGTTTTCCATTATTTTTTAGAATTTCTTTGGGAGGGATTGAAAATGCATGACAATTTTGCTCTTCAAGATAAATCACTTGCTTGGAATTTGGTCACCAATGATTGAAAATTAAATAAGGTTCGAGAGATCAAATGTGACAAAAATTTAAAATTTGTGAGATTAAATGTGTCAAAATTAATTGCCAATGGCCAAATATAATGTGAAAATAGTTCCAGAGTCAAACATTTGTATCTTGTTAAAAAATTAAATAAATTTTGATAATATAGTGGAATTAATAAGCATTACTCTTATATTGATGTACTTAAGATTAGAAAATAAATTAAAATACCTACAATCAGTATGAATATAGTACGTAAAATGTAGATTGCAATAATATACAATTCACGCATAGGAAGAATCATACCTTAATTACTCATGCTACAAACATGGATAACATTCTTTTTTATTGAAGGTCAATCTTGCGATTGTATTAATGAATCAAAGCCGAAATAGTGTCAGGTGGGATAGCATCCCAGTACATAGTTTGATCCTGAGTAAATGCTAACGTAGCTAAAGTATGCGCATGTAAATTAACCTGCCTAGAAATATAATCCAAAGTAATACGATTAAATAACGACATAAACGTCCTGCACTGGTCAACTGTGACCCCAACGTACGAATGGATCGGCGTATGATGGTGCCTGAATATCGCTGCCAATTCCATGCAATCCGTGAGTAAACTTACTGATGTGGTGTCCCGTTCAAGTAGCCAGGACAAAGCCTCCTTGTATGCCTGAGCCTCCGCCATAAGTGGTGAAAAACAAATTTGTAACTTGCCATTCCTCGCTGCCACAAACGAGCCATCTGGCGCTATAATTACCATGCCGTAAGTAGCCTCGCCCGTGTCGTGCCGGAAACCCGCGTCCACATAACATCGTAGACCACCCCCTCCTGAACCATTCACGTGGTCCGTCGCCGGTGTCGGGTTGGTTCGGCCAACATGAGCAGTGCCATACGCCTGCAGTGCTACGGTGGCTGCTCTGACCAACCGGGCAGGCCGCATCATTGATCCCTTCCAGACAGCTGAATTCCGGGTTCTCCAAATATAATATAATATTGCTACCATTAACCGGATCTGCTCCTCCGTCAAGACTGTCATAACCCCTTTTAGCCATGTTGTAAACGAGTCTGCAACAATATTAATAATAGGTAATTGTGTTATATTCCAAACAAGTCTAGAATATTCACAAAGCACTAAAGCATGTAACACATCTTCATGATCTAAACCACACATAGGGCAAGTTGGGTCCACCTCCACCCTTTTAAATATCAAGTTAAGGGTTGTTGGCAAAATATCACATATGGCTCTCCACAAAAAAGTTTTTCATTTCGGGGGTACTTTTAATTTCCACATTGCGATCCACTTATCAAAATTCGCTGGATTATTCTCATAATCTCCCACAATATGCCTATAGGCATTCTTTACTGTATATGTCCCCTTTGGGTCACTCATCCAATACCATGAGTCCTCATACTCAGGACTAACAGGGATCATATTTATACGTTCCACATCTTCAGGAATAAATAAATCAGACAGAATGTGCGGATCCCAGGTATGAGTCTGTAAATCAATTAGTCCTGCAACTCGCGCCTCTCTCAATTGTTGCGGCATTTCTGTTTGAATCAATGGGCTAGGATTGTCTCGTAACCACGGGTGTCCCCATATTAGGGTTGTCTGTCCATTCCCAATCCTCCTTCGCACCCCTGAGACTACCATTGCATGGGCCGCCATTATACTTCTCCAACAATAACTCGGGCAATTACCAATAGTTGCATCTGTAAAACTGGTTGTGGGATAATACCTTGCCTTGTAGATTTTGGCTACAAGTGTTTCTGGGTCTGTTAAAAATCGCCATGCCTGTTTACCTAGCATTGCTATATTAAAAGCCCTCAGCTCTTTAAAACCCATACCGCCATACTTTTTTGGTATGCACAACCTGTCCCATGCCTTCCAATGTATTCCCCTTTCTCTTCCACTGCCCCACCAATATTTATTCATAGTTCGCTCAATTGACTGACAAACTGTCTCAGGTAACAAAAAAACACTCATCGAAAAGGTAGGCATAGATTGTGTTACACTTTTCAATAATACTTCCTTACCAGCCTGAGAGAGTAGCTTTTTACTCCACGAACCAATTCGCTGCCTGATTTTTTCCTCCACATACGAAAAAACATCTCTCTTGTTTCTCCCTACAAAAGATGGTAGGCCCAGATATTTCCCAAAATTTGGTGCTTGTACCACCCCCAGACAATTCGCCACCTGTGCCCTGTCAGCCTCCTGGGTATTTCTGCTAAAACATATATTTGATTTATTATAATTCACTACCTGACCTGACAATTTCTCATACCTTGCAAGGCACTACCTTATAACTCCTGCCTCCTGGGTATTTGCTTTAAAAAATAGGAGACTATCATCCGCAAAAAATAGGTGTGATACAGGCGGTGCCCCCCTTGCTACTCTGCACCCATGTATTGACCCTGCCAACTGTTCATACTGTAATATCATCGAGAGAGCCTCTGCACAAATAATAAATAAATACGGAGAGAGCGGGTCTCCCTGCTTGAGTCCCCTGGTTGGTTTTACGTGCCCCCCTTCTATACCATTAATCATTACAGTATAATTAACAGTCGTTACACACATCATAATGAGCTTTACCCACTTCTCACTAAAACCCATAACAGTCAGCATCCTTTCCAGAAAGTTCCACTCCATTCTATCATATGCCTTTGACATATCTAGCTTTAATGCACTCCATCCCACTATACCACATTGCTTTCTATTCAGATAATGCCCCACCTCCGCTGCCACCAGGATATTATCCGTGATTAGCCTTCCCGGGATAAAAGCACTCTGGGATTCTGAGATCAATCCTCCCATCAATGTTTTCATCCTATTTGCTATCATTTTGGCCATAATTCTGTAAATGACATTACTCAGTGCGATCGGCTTTAAATCTGCTACTGTCTCAGGCATCTCCTTCTTCGGTATCAAGACAATGTTAGTATCATTCAATCCTTCAGGGAATACACAGGAATTCAAGGCATTAATTACAAAACCAGATACATCTCCTCCCACTATCCCCCAAAACTGCTGGTAGAAACCCGGGTTCAACCCATCCGGCCCCGGTGCCTTATCCGGATACATTGAAACAAGAGCCTCTTTAACCTCATTAGTTTCAAAAGGGCGGTCTAGCATCACATTCTGCTCCAACGTTACTCGTGGGGTCAGGACTCCAAAAAGTGGATCATTACAACTCAGCTCATTTGAGGCAAAAATATTTTCAAAGTAATTCTGTATAACAACATGCATATCATCCCCCTCCACCCAGTTACCAGCATCACATTTAATAGTAGAAATAAAATTCTTTTTCCGGCGTGCAGAAGCATACCTGTGATAAAATTTTGTATTCGCATCAGCCCCGCGTAGCCAGTGTTGCTTGGCCCGCTGCCTCCAAAACACATCCTCCTGGGCCTCTACTCGTTTCATGGTATTCTCAATCTGTTGGTACTCAGCGAGAGCTACCAAATCTCGTCTATTCCTTATGGCATCTTGCCTCCGCTGCAGGTGGTTAATTCGCTTTCCAAATTTATGGAACTGATCTCCACCCCACCGCATCAACTTTTCTCCACACAACTGCTTGCAGTGCAGCAATCCCTCCGTTCTCCCCTCTTGCCAGGCCGTTTCGACTACTCCTTTGCACCCCTCATCCAATAGCCAAGCCATTTCAAATCTGAACTTCCGCGGTCCCCTTCTCCTTGGCATGCAAATCGCATTAATACTGAGGAATAGGATCGAATGATCCGATGCCCGAGTTCGAATATTTTCCAGCATTGCATTCTCATTGAGCAGACCCCAATCATTCGTTATTAAAGCCTTATCCAATCTCTCCTCTATCCAATTCGGCGTCCCCTTCCCCTTCTGCCACGTATACTGATGGCCCCTCATTGGCATTTGCATCAAACCACAGTCATCCAGAGCATCTCCGAAACCCCGTAACAGACTATTAGGATACGGATTTCCCCCCTTCTTCTCATGCTGATATAGTAGATTATTAAAATCCCCTATCACCACCCAGGGCAATAAGGATCTAGTCTTGAGAGTACCAAGTAAATCCCATGTCTCCTCCCGCCTACCACGCTCGGGGATACCATAAATGCATGTCATGCGCCATAACTTATTAAACAAGCTAACCTCCACATCAATATGACTCTGCGAATAGCTTAAAAATCTCACCGTATTATTCTTCTTCCACAAAAGCGCCATTCCTCCACTCAAACCATCGTTATCAACATAAAACAAACCTTCATAGCCAAGCGTAACCCGGATCCGCTCTGCATGTATCCGTGGTACCTTGGTCTCCATCAAAAACACAAAATCAGGCTTCTTACTGGACGCAAGGCCCACAATCTGTCGAACTATGCGTGGATTGCCCAAGCCACGACAGTTCCAGCTCAGAGTACTCATGATGATGGGCGGGGCTGGACACCAGCTCCCACCATGGACAAGTTTTTTGAAACAGCTGCGGTTGTTACCTCATCGTTTCCACTTCCCTCTCTCCCCTCGGTTCCATGTCTACGACGCTTTGCCGTAGCCACCACCACCTCATCCTCAAACATACTCGTGGGTGTGACAGCCCCACTTCCCTGTCCCCCATCCACTACACGTGGCTTGACTCCCAGTGGTCGTGGTTTCCCGCCTACCGGAACAAGCCAGCTATCCCCAACCGCTCTAGGAGCGCTCCGGGATCCACCAGCTCGCAAATCCGGACCGTACAGGTACCTTTCGACTGGAATTCCAGCCTCCCTAGCGTGTATGCAGAAAGTATGCAAGTGACCCATACAGCCACAAAAGCAGCAAAACTTATGCAGCCGTTCATATCTAAAATTTACCCATGCTGTAGTCCCATCTCTCTTCATCAACCTCATCCTCCTTCTAAGCGGCCTATCAACCGAAATTGACACCCGAATACGGTGAAACGTTAGCCATGGTGCCCCCTCAAACCGGTCATCATGTTTAACAAAAGAGCCCAAAAAATTTCCTGCCTGCTCCAGGATTGTATGCGACGTGTACCCCTTTGGCATATCATGCAACTGCACCCACATGTCAATCATATCCAGCTCCACATCCACAGGATTTACCCCATCCAACACCTCCCGACACACAAGAGCATTATTCTCAAAAGCCCAGGGTCCCCCATTCAGCACGTATTCCATATCCGTCTTATGGAAAAACACAAATAAGAACAAACCCCTTTGAATCTCCGTTACCTGTACTCCACGTACCGGTTGCCAAACAGACGCCAGAACCTGCCTCATAAAGTCTAGCTTGATCATCTTCTGCGTCAAAAACCGCCCGACAATCCTCCAAGTCTCCTCCTCCTCCTCCCCATCACCCTCTACCACCGCATCCCCACCTTCCGGCATAAACACCGCCCCTTCCTCCTCCATCAACGCCATCTCCGCCCATCTATCCGTCAACTCCGCCACACCCCCCACTACCCCTTGATGCCGTGCAATTCCCCCATCCCCCCTCCCATGCCGATCCATGCTTCCTCTATTCCCTCCTCCACCCACACTGCCTACACCATCTCCATCTAAACTACCCACGCCACCCCCATGCACACCGCCTAGACCACCTGCCAACACACCTCCCCCACGCCTCATATTACTGCCACGTTCCTCCATGCTTCCTCTATTCCCTCCTCCACCCATACTGCCTACACCATCTCCATCTAAACTACCCACGCCACCCCCATGTACACCGCCTAGACCACCTGCCAACACACCTCCCCCATGCCTCAAGCTACTGCCACGTTCCCCCCAACTTCCTGCCTTTCATTCGCACCGTAATCCCTCCCTTCTTGCCTCCAACTTGCATCTCGCCTAACATCCTGCCTAACTTCCTTCGTTCGGCGCAAATCAACCCCATTCAGCAACTCTCTTTCACGCAATTCCTCCATCTCGGCCAGCGTCGCATTACGTTGGTTGATCTCGCCATCCATAACAACATCATCGGCCATCTTTCAGGGAGAAAAGAACCAAAATTGTCTGAAAACCTAGGAAAACCCTAGTAGATCTGCAAAAACCCTAGAGAGAATCTAGAGAGAGAATTTTGTATTGTATATAGTATAGATGTACACATGGATAACATTCTAAAACAATTAAAACTATGTTAGGAAAAAAGACAAAAATACTAAACAACCCCTACTTAAAATCAATTATAAAAAAAGATACAAAAAAATAGAATAATCCTCACCACACAACAACACAATATCAATGGTCAGGATTAGTCCACAGACCTCATATGGAGAAGTGTCCTCATTTGATCCTCTATATATATATATATATATATATATATATATATATATATATATATATATATATACACATGTTTATATATATATATTTATATCTAATATTATCCTACCTATCATATATATCAGTATACAATATATATATATATATATATATATATATATATATATATATATATATATATATATATATATATTGTATACTGATATATATGATAAGAATCTTTATAATTAATATGATTGGGAGTATAACTTAAAATATTCTCCCATTAAGTTGACTAAGGAATGATGATGACCAATATAATTATTTTCCTTCTTCTTTTTCCCTATCTTGGCCGATCCTTCTAGCAAAAGAAAAAAAAAAAAAAAAAATCCTCTCTTCTTCCTATCTCTCTATTTCGGCATTTTTAAACAAAACAAAAATTCTCTTATTCTTTTCAAGAGTTGAAACAATCCACTCATCCAAGCCCAAAGGTGATTTAAATACCGAGGCTTAGGAAAAATATTGGAAGGGAAATTGCTTAACCGGTAAGTGGTTTTGTCCTCCATTACTTTGCCTATTTTTTTCAAAATATATGAATTTTGTTGGTTGATTATTATGAAAATGTCTTAGTATATGGAATGATATAGTTTTCTTATGTGATTATTTGGAAGTATTTGTTGTAATACCTATGATAAATTTCATTGTATGGAATCCATGAAGAAAAAAAAAATTTAAAATTTATTTGTATGATTTATTATGTATTACCGTATGTTTAGGAATATATATATATATATATATATATATATATATATATATATATATAACGGAAAGTTTAAGAAGTTAAATTTTGGGGTATTATAATGAGTGTTGTAAGTATATATCATTTTCATCTTTGTATGATTTATTATGTACATGTGATATGATTTTTTTTTAAATTTTGAGTTTAAAATTTAATTTTGTTCTTATATATAATATTGTATGCTTACATATTGTTGTTGTTTTTTTGTTTTTTATTTTACTGTAGGAAAGAATTTGGAAGAAGAAGTTGCAAAATTTAAAAAAAATTGCAAAAATAGCTTTAAAGAAACAAGCTGCTGAAATCAAGCAAATTTTTGCTCACTTGTCAAGCAATCAAGGGATTCCAAATATGCTAAGCAATGTATCTCCATCAATACCTCAAGTGAAGAATAATCAAGATATTTTATTTTAAAATGTTTTTATTTGCATTCTATTGTATTTCTAACAACATATATTTGTTAGACAATGAGGTCTCTTTTTATATATATTTTAATTTTAATTTGACGAGTAACTTGTTGAATGAATTATTTTATTCCATATAATAATTAAATTAGAACATTTAATTATGACAGGATTTTGAAATAAATAATTATATATTGTGTGCATTTGGGTAGTATTATTTGAAAAAAAAAAAATGTGACCAAATAATGGTCACCAATACAAATATCAAGATTGACAATAGTGACACTATTTCAACTTATTTTAGTGACACAAGTTTTTCCACTAATTTTTAGTATTGTTGTTATGACTTTAATTAGCACCAATGATTGTTTCAGAGTTAACTTCTTTTTGTCACAAATAAATACAATATTTGTTACCATGATTGTTGTCACAACAAAATAATTATTTGTTACTGTTGAAGGAGTTTGGAGAATAAAGTATTGTCTTGTTATTTACACTCTGTCTACAAGCAAATACACAACACCATATATATAGGTAGAAGATGGAATACTAATAGAGCCCTAGGGATACTAACAGACATAGCCCTAGGGATACTAACAGACATAGAAACTGAACAGTCATAGGAAATAATAAAAGCATAATAATGAGTCTCAACATCCCCCCTCAAGCTGGAGCATGAATATCAAAAGCTCCAAGCTTGGTACACAAATATTCAACTCTGGGACCTCTTAAAGCTTTGGTGAAGATATCAGCCAACTGATCATTTGTACCCACGAATAAGGTAACGATTTCCCCGGATGTAATCTTTTCGCGAATAAAATGACAATCGACTTCGATGTGTTTTGTTCTCTCATGAAAGACTGGATTGGATGCAATATGCAAGGCTGCTTGATTGTCGCACATCAGTTTAATAGGCCCTTTCATGCAAAGATTTAATTCAGTCAAGAGATGCTTTAACCAGATTAGTTCACATGTTCCCAAGGCTATTGACCGATATTCTGCCTCTGCACTTGATCGAGCCACCACATTTTGCTTCTTACTTTTCCAAGATACTAGATTGCCACCAAGAAAAACGCAGTACCCTGATGTTGACTTTCTATCCCAAGAGCACCCAGCCCAATCTGCATCAGTATAACCAACAATCTCTGTATTTCCACGATCCTTGTATAAAACACCATTCCCGGGAGACTTCTTGATGTATTGTAGGATCCTAATGACAGCTTCCCAATGGCTATCACACGGAGAAGCCAAAAATTGACTCACAACGCTAACTGCAAAAGAGATGTCAGGGCGAGTGACGGTTAAGTACAACAATTTTCCAACCAATCTTCTATATCTTCCTGGATTTGAAAAGGGCTTCCCTTGTTCCGGTACAAGCTTAATGTTAGGATCCATGGGAGTATCAATAGGTCTGCAATCACTCATACCTGTTTCCTCTAATATGTCTAAAGCATATTTTCGTTGAGATATACAAATCCCTTGCTTTGACTGGGCAACTTCTATCCCTAAGAAGTATTTTAATTTTCCAAGGTCTTTTGTCTCAAAATGTTGGAAAAGATGTTGCTTTAGCTGGAGTATTCCTTCTGCATCATCTCCTGTGATAACAATATCATCGACATAAACAACAAGATAAACACTCTTACCATGTCGATGCCGGTAGAATACAGAATGATCCACTTTGCTTTGGACTAACCCAAACTCTTGCAGAACTGTACTAAAACGTCCGAACCAGGCACGTGGAGACTGTTTCAATCCATAAAGAGAACGTTTTAATTTGCAAACCAAATCAGTCTCCCCCCCTTGAGCAACAAAACCCGGAGGTTGCTCCATATACACCTCTTCTTTTAGATCCCCATGTAAAAAGGCATTCTTGATGTCTAGCTGGTATAGAGGCCAATGATGGATGGCAGCAATAGACAGAAAGATTCTGATAGAAGAGATCTTGGCTACGGGTGAGAACGTATCAGTGTAATCAACGCCAAACACTTGAGTATACCCCTTGGCTACAAGGCGAGCTTTGAGTCTATCTATCTGTCCATCAGGCCCAACTTTGATATTATAAACCCAACGACAACCAACAACTGTTTTGCCAGGAGGTAATGGAACCAAGTCCCAAGTTCCCGAGGATTGCAAAGCAACCATTTCATCTACCATAGCTTGCTGCCAACCAGGATGGGAAAGAGCTTCCCTAACCGAATTAGGAACAGAAACAGATGATAAACTGGAGATGAAAGCATTGTAAACAGGGGAAAACCGGTGATAAGAGACAAAATTATATATAGGGTAGGGATTGCGAGTAGACCGGTTACCTACCCGACTAGCAATGGGCGGACTGGAGATTGGAGCAGGACCCGAATCCGAGGGAAGAGACCGCTCAGGAGATGAATCAGCAGGTTCAATGTTTGCAGCAGTAGTGGTTGGTGGTAATTTTGACCGACGATGATAGGTGAACTGGAAAGGAGAAACAGTGTGGGTTTGTGATGGATTGGGAGGTAGGACAATAGGAGATATTGGTATTTCTGTCCCTCCTTCAAATGAGGGAACTGGTAGGACATCAGGAAAAGGATCCACCACCCTTATAGAGTCAGATGAAAAGAACGGAGTGTGCTCAAAGAAGGTAACATTTGGTGATACATAGAATCGCTGTCTCTCAGGACAATAACACCTGAACCCTTTTTGAACCCTAGAGTACCCCACAAAAATACATTTCAAGGACTTGGGTGATAATTTATCACGACCAGGAGTAATATCCCGAACAAAGCAAGTGCAACCAAAAACCCTCAGCGGAAGCTTGTGTAATGGCTCTTGAGGAAACAATATGTTATAAGGTATTTTGCCATGTAGAACAGACGATGGCATACGGTTAATAAGGTAACATGAATGGAGGATAACATCTCCCCAGAAATAAGAGGGAACCTTATAGTGAAGGAGCATAGTCCGAGCGGTTTCCACTAGATGCCTATTCTTTCGTTTAGACACACCATTCTGTTGTGGAGTATCTGGACAAGAAGACTCATGGAGAATACCTTCAGAGTCAAGGAAGGTAGACAAAGGAGTATTGAAATATTCCCTGGCATTATCACTTCGAAGAATTTTAATAGAGACTCCAAATTGATTCTTGATTTCATTATGAAATTTCTGAAAGATGTTGAATAGATCAGAACGTCGTTGCATTAGGAAAACCCAAGTACAACGCGAAAAGTCATCAATAAAAG